AGGGAAGGTATTAAGCATCCCTACAACACCCTCAATTGGTACCCTATGATGAAGATAACACAATAATAATTAATAATCTAAATATTTAGTCCCCTTTATGAATTGTTATTTACATGCTTAAATTTAAATTAAGTGATTGACCCTAAAATGTCTACATGGCTGCTTTTATTACAACAATATTTAAAAAATAAGAAAATAGAAGGAGAGAGGAGTGTTGACTGAAATACCTCTTGTCTGAGCTTTATTAGATCTTCAAATATGGAGACCTTTAGGCACTTTTTGGCGACCTAACACACTACAATGTTCCTCACAAAATATCAAGAGAGAAAGAGAAATTTCGAGCTCTAAGGAGTCTTAGACGAAATTTTTAGGTCCTGAGAACTGTGCCCGAATCTACTATTTATAGACATCAGAAATTGCCAGAACGGCCCATTCTGGATTCGTAACGGGTCGTTCTAGATTTGTACATTATGTGTTAATTTCACATCCTAGAACGGACCGTTTTGAAATCAAAACGACCTGTTCTAAAATTGAGTTTTAATAGAAAACTACCACGTTGGAATAGCCCGTTCCAAACTAGGGTTTTAGGCCTTTTTTGTGATTTGGAACGGCCCATTCAGTTTTAGAACGGCTCGTTCCAATTTTAGAACAGGTCGTTCCAGCTTGAGAACAGCCCGTTCTAGTTTGGGAACGGGCCGTTCCATTTTTGGAATAGCCCGTTCTGGGTTACTAAGTCACCCTTTGTTGGGCTTTAGGCCTTTTGATGTCATGTCCTATTGTTTCCATGCTTTGGGAGCTCCTTTCCTTGATAATAGATGTCCATTTCATTGCTTTTGTGGTCCGGACAAAATTAGGTGTCTACAACAAGCTCCAAGGCCAAACTTGGCCCGATCGTACGTCAACCACTCCCTATGTTTAATACCCTCATGCCCCTGGGTGTAGGGGGGACTGTTGTGTGCAAAGGTTTGTGTACAATTTTTATTCAAACAGGTGTAGAATTTAAACAAGTAAACAGATATTAAAGCCAAACAAATAAAACAAACAAAGTAAAGGGGAAAAATATTTAAATTATTATTCTTATTTTATTAACTTCATTTATATGGGACTGACCCTCTTTAAATGTCCCCAGTGGAGTCGTCATCTGTTACAACCTGAAAATTTCTGATCTTGCGACCTATGGATTAGACATCTTTTTGAAAATCTCATTAATTAAGGAATTCCCGGATACCAAACTAATCCTTGATTAATGGTTTTGAAAATAGGTTCATGGAGTCACCACCAATGTTTTACTCAAAACATTGGGAAAAGAAAAGGTTTTTAAAGATCCAATAATGACCTTGATAACCAGAATTAGGTTCGGGGATCGATTACGTATAAGGAAGGTATTAAGCACCCCTACAACGTCCTTAATCGGTAGCCTTATGATGAAGTTAGCATAGTAAGAATGAATAAGTTATATATTTAATCCCCTTTATTAATGATTATTTACATGCTTGAAATTTAAATTACACAATTGACTCTAAAATGTCTACATGATTGCTTTTATTATAACAATGTTTATCAAAGATCAAAAATAAAAAAGAGAGAAGAAGATTGATTGAAATACCTCTTGAAAGAGCTCTATTGAATCTTCAAATATGGAGGTTTTTAGGTTCTTTGTGGAAACCTTTCACGCTACAATATGCCTCACAAAAATCTCAAGAAATACAAAAAGAAAGAGAGAAAGAAAGAATTCTTGAGCTATAAGGAGCTCTGGATTGATTTTCTGGCCCTCAGAGAACAGTGCATGAGTTTGTTATTTATAAACCTCAAAAGTGACCAGAATGGCCGGTTCCAAATCCAGAACGACCCATTCTAGATCCCTTCGTTATAGGTTAATTTTGCATCTGGAACAGCCCATTCCAGAGTTGAGTTTAGCACATAACTACCTGGTCTGGAATGGCCCGTTCCAAACTAGGATTTTAAGCCTTTTTGGTGGTTTGGAATGGCCTGTTCCAGTTTAAGAACGACCCGTTTCACCTTTGGAACAGGTCGTTCTAGCTTGAGAACAGCCCGTTCCAGATTGGGAACAACCCGTTCTAGGCTACTAAATCAGTCTTTTGTTGGGCTTTAGGCCTTCTGATGTCATGTCCTGTTGTTTCCATGCTTGGGAGCTCCTTTTCTTTGATAATGGAAGTCCATTTCCTTGTTTGTACACCCTGGATGAAATTAGGTGTTTACACTTCCTCAACTATGAAACGTGAAACACATCATGTAGGTTGGACAAAACCAGAGGTAACGCCAACTGATAAGCCACTGGACCTAGACGATGAAGGATCTGGTAAGGACTAATGAACCTCGGAGTGAGCTTCTTAGCCCTTACTTCCCTTCCCATTCCAGTAATGGGTGTCACCCTAAGAAACATGTGCTCTCCCTCCTCAAACTCTAGAGGTCTCCTCCTCCTATCAGTATAGGACTTTTTTCGGCTCTGGGTAGCTCTCAACCTCTCTTGAATTTGTCTCACTATCTCAGTATTCTGAAGAACTAACTCTGGACCAACCACTACTAACTCACCCTCTTGATACCAACACCATGGAGTCCTACCCCCCCTGCCATACCAAGCCTCAAAAGGCATTATGCCAATACTCGAGTCCTAATTGTTGTTGTAGGTAAACTCCACTAATGGTAACACCTCCACCCAACTACCCAGATGATCCAACACACAAGCTCTCAAGAGATCCTCAAGTGATTGAACTATTCTTTCCGACTGACCATCTTTCTGTGGATGATAAGTGGAGCTCAATCTCAACCTTGTCCCCAAAGCCTGATGCAGAGTCTGCCAAAACCTAGAAGTAAACCTTGGGTCTCAGTAAAAAATAATACTGGAAGGCACACCATGCAATTGCACTATCTCTCTGATATACAATTGTGTAAGCCTCTCCAGGGACCACCTCTTGTTGATAGGAAGAAAGTGCGCACACTTTGTCAACCTATCAACAATCACCCAGATAGTGTCACTATTCCTAGCTGATCTATGCAACCCAACTACAAAGTCTATAGTGACACTATCCCACTTCCACTCAGGAATCTCCATCAACTGTAGAACCCCTCTGGGCCTTTGATGTTCAATCTTCACTTTTTGACAGGTCAAACAATCGGCTACAAACTTTGCTATCTCCTTCTTTATACCAAGCCACTAGAAACATTTCTTGATGTCCTGATACATCTTAGTCATACCGGGATATATGCTAAGATGACTCATGTGTCCCTCCTCCAGAACAGCTCTCCTCAATTCTGAATCCTAAGATAAACAAATCTGACCTCTGAATCTTAGAATCCCATCAGTACCAAGCTCAAAACCAGTTTCCCTCTCGGTACCAAGCAAACCTAAAATCCTAAACAACTCTGGATCCTGTAACTGCCTAGTTACCATTTGTCTCAAGAACTCATTAGTTATGGTAATCATACCACAACTAATGTGATCTTGAACAACCTCCACTACTAGTCTCAAATCTCTAAATTTCTCAATCAGTTCCCATTCCCTAATCATCATAGCTGACATGTAAATGGATTTCCTACTCAATGCATCTACTACCACATTCGCCTTTCCAGGATGATACATCAACTAGAAGTCGAAATCCTTTAGGAATTCCATCCACCTCCACTGCCTCATATTCAACTCCTTCTGATCAAACAAATACTTCAAGCTCTTATGATCACTGAACACACTAAATCGTGCACCATACAGATAGTGCCTCCATGACTTCAAGGCAAACACCACAGCTGCAAGCTCCAAATCATGAGTGGGATAATTCGTCTCATGGGTCTTAAGTTGCCTCGAAGCATATGCTACTACTCTCCCTCCCTGCATCAACACATAACCCAACCCCTAGTGAGAAGCATCACAGAACACATCAAAATGCTCACTAGTGTCAAGTAACACCAAAATTAGAGAAGTAGTCAATCGTATCTTTAACTCTTGAAAACTCTGCTCACAACCATCCATCCAAACGAAAGGCTGATCCTTTCAGGTCAGTTGAGTCAAATTCATTACTATTCAGGAGAAACCTTCTATGAATCTCTAATAGTAACCCGCTAACCCAACAAAACTCTTAATCTCTGTAGCAGTCCTCGGACGCTCCCACTGAACCACAGCCTCCACCTTGGCTGGATCCACTGTAATCCTTTGCGTTGATATCACATGCCCCAAAAACTTTTCCTCAGATAGCCAAAAGTCACACTTGGACAGCTTGGCATACAACTATCTCTCCCTCAGCACCTCTAAAACCAACCTCAGATGCTCATCATGATCCTCCAAGGATCTAGAATATACTAATATGTCATCAATAAAGACCACACAAATCTATCCAAGAACGGCCTGAAAATCATGTTCATGTAATTAATGAACACCGCCAGAGCATTAGTGAAACCGAAAGGTATCACTACATACTCATAGTGACCATACCTAGTCCTGAAAGTAGTCTTCGGTATGTTACTCTCCTTCGCTATGATCTAATGATATCCGGATCTCAAATCAATATTCGAGAACACCAAAGCTCCCCTCAGCTGATCCATCAAATCATCAATCCTTGGAAGTGGATACTTATTCTTTATCGTCAACTTATTTAGTTGTTGATAATCTACACACAAAAGGGCCCCACCATTCTTCTTCTTCACTAATAATACCGGGGCACCCGAAGAAGAAACACTGGGCCTCACCATCTTTTTCACTAACAAATCCTCAATCTGCTTCTTCAACTCTACCAACTCAGCTAGAGCCATCCTAAAAGGGGCTACTGATACCGGTCCGGCACCAAGTACCAGATCAATACTAAACTCAATATCACGTATAGGTGGCAATCCTGACACATCATCTAGAAACACATCAGGAAACTCACTAACAATCTCAATCCCAGTGATGGCCCTCTCTGTCTCAACACTCAAGGCAACAAACAACATGAAGCACTCAGCATCATCCCTCATTAATTGTTCAGCCTGACTTGCTGACACCAACACCTCATCCTCCAACTGAGGAAATACCAACTCTCTCCGAGCACAATCTATAAGGATGCGATGGGCAGATAACCAATCCATCCCCTAGATGATGTCTATATCCACCATAGGCAAAACAATCAGGTTCCCTCGAAACCTCCTACCAAACGCCTCTACCGGGCATCTCACAAACATCTCCAATGTCACCACAAAAACTGAACCTAGAGTAGATACAAAAAAAATCAACATGCAAAGCGAACACTGATAAACCCAATCTCCTCACACAATCAACAGATATTAATGAATGTGTAGCACCAAAGTCAAATAGGAATAAAACATCCTCACTTGCTGCCTTCCATTTCCCCTTCACCAAGTCTGATGATGTGGAAGCCTCTGCACCTGATAAAGCAAATACTCTCCCCGCAACTGTAGGCCTGGCTGGCCTCGGGGAACTCCTAGATGGAGTCGATGGCATCTGACACTCTCTAGAAATGTGGCCTGGCTTGCCACACCTGAAACAAACATTCTCTGGATGGGAAGAATCTCTGACTACATGGGCTCTTGCACATCTGTAGCACTGCACTAGCTGTGCTCCACCCTGAGGAGTAGCAGGGCGAGGTCCCGTACTAACAACACCTCTTTGGGACTGAACAAGCCTATCATAGGGTCCCCTCTACTGTCTTCCCCTCCTAGATTCTGATGACCCATCCTAAACTCTAGCAGTCTTACTACTGCCACCACCACCCTTTAGTCTCTCAACCGTCTTTGCCTTCTCAACCAAGGCAGGAAACTTCACAATGGACATAGAGACAATGACCCTCTTCAGCTCATGTCTCATCCCCTCTACAAACTTTCTACATCTCCAAGCCTCAGATATGGCTTGAGAGTAGAAACGAGCCAAATTCTCAAACCTCATAACATACTCAGAAACAGACATGCTCCCCTATTGTAGTCTCATAAACTCAATCTCCTTAGCGTATCTAAGCTATCCGGGAAATAATTCTCTAAAAAAGACCCTTCTAAAGCAATCCTAATCAACAACTACACCCTTACTCTCTAACATCTGTCTGGTACCTCTCCACCAGTACTCAACCTCACCCGCCAGCATGTACACTACATAGGCCAAATTTCTCTCCTCAAAAGATCCCAAAACACTAAAGATCTTCTCCATCTCGCACAACCAATGATCTACAACATCAGGATCTGAATCCCCCTTGAATTGAGGAGGCTGTCATCTTTTGAACTCTGCCAAATCTCTCTCATCCTGAGAGATCACTAGTCTAGCTGCCTCAATCACAGCTTTACCCGCCTCCATCTAAGCAAAGTGAGCACTCTACTACTGCATTGCCATGGCCATCATCTCCATGGCCTTAGTGATTTGATCATACTAAGGCCTCACCATACTACAAGAATCCAAACATTCTTTTAGTAACACTATACCACCACAAATCAACAAAACCAAACACATATCAGAGATATGACACAATAGAAACCTAGAAGGATCACTCCCCACAAAGTATCCAAAAGACTGGACCGACTCTGATACCATAAAAGTGTAACGACCCGCCATGGTCATACACTTAGTGGAATCACACTAACGATACTAATCATCTAAGATGAAATATTAAGTTGGATAACAAAATATATACATAAATAAAGTGATAAAAGAAAAATTAAATATTTATGTACGAAATATAGTACTATGTATATACAGTCATCCAAAATAATATTGTCCTAGTGTCGGTCAGCACAAACAAATAATTACCCAAGAAGGTAACTCTAGTACTAAGTCAAAACTCCAACCCTTGCAGCGGTCACAATGGCTAGCTCTAACCTAACCCTGATATGTTCTCATACACAGTATGATCATTGCAGTCCATCCATATGGAAATAGAAGGGTAAACTAGAGTTCAATAAATAACCATACAAATATAGAATGATAATCTATACTACATATTCATCCAATCATACTCATAGAGTCACACTCTATACACGTTATCCAATACTACCCAGGCATAAAATGCAACTCAACAATCATGAAGTCAAACATCACACACTTCATCATATTAGAAATCATGCAATAATAGCAACTCATGATAGATATCAATGCATATCAATCATCTAATGCATTGTCACGCACACACCTTGGAGATCTCCCTAACAACAGAGCAGTATAAGTGACATCTCAATCCTACCGAAACCACCCCAACCATTTTCACGCCCAATGCGCCCGCTCAGTCACAGTTAATTAGGATATAAATCCTCACTCGGGTTTACTCGGATGATGTCACTTACACACTTGGAGGTACGGTTCCACCGTTAGGTATAGCACAACTGGGTACAGGCTTACCACGACCTTGGAATGCATTACCAAGTCACTTGCGGAGTTCGCCCATTGACTATCCGCAAGGAACCACGCACCTTCCCCACAGGGAATAACCTTCGACCTCATCCCTGATGGAAATGGCTTGTAGGAGTAATTGTTGTTCTCCTCCAAGCTTCATCTCCTTTGTCCAATCTTCTCTTGAGGTTGAACTTTGAATGTGGAAGCAAGGAACCAAGCTTAGAAAGCTTGAGAAGTGATGGAGTTGGCAAGTGAAGTGAAGAATTGTGCTTCCTTTTCCTTCTCCAATGATCACGGATCTTGCTCGTTGAGTGGACTCTGGAATGAAGTTGGATTAGAAGATGAGAGGAGAATGTTTCCTAGACTAGGATGGAAACATCCAAGCAAGAAAACCAAGAAGAAAGCTCATGGCCAAGCTAGGAGAAAAGATTTCCCTAATGCTAAGGCTTAGAACTTAGTGACTTTGGGAGAGAACTTGGCTGAAGTATATTCAGAAAATTCTCATATATCATCAAAGTGTTTAAAAAATGGAAGGAAGATGTATTTATAGGCTACGGATTTAAGTGAGGTGGCACCACTCATAAGGCCTTCAAAGTGGCTCCAAAATTTGAATTCAAATTCAAATTTGAATTCAAATTTTGGATGTCCACAAAGTCCCCATGTGCAGCCACTTCCTTCTAGAAAGCTTAATTGCATTTAGGTGCAATTTAGAGTTCATTTGAAACTTCACATGTGCAGCCACCCTTGGCACAAAACATGTGACTCAAATGTAACCCTAATTACTCCTAAATGTAATTAAGTTTCTATGAACGCCTAATACTTATTCCCCTCAAATTCCTATTCTAATGGCCTAAATACAATGGCCAATCAAATACAATATAAAGGAAAAATTACAAGGATTAAAATGAGCCCCATATTGGGTACAAAAGCCCAAAGGCTCATGAAGCCCAAAACTAGGCTCAATAAGCCTATGGCCCAAAAACGCTACCCTATGTGATCCAAAATACAAGATCAAAATATATGAAACCTATTCTAATATAATGTATACAAAATAGAAGAAAATGAGTATCTCAAGGTATGACCCATGTGAAGCTCAACTTGGGTCTTCCAAGCCCATCGACCCATTGGGCCTTGACTGGCCCAAATCTTCATGTCTAGCCCATTCCTCTTGGGTCCTTCAAGATGTCATCCCTTGCCTTCCTAGGAATGATTCCATCAAGAAGTAACTCCAATGGCGCGAACTTCTTCTTGAAGGAGAAAAAGATTAAAGGAACCAAGGCACAAAGGAAGGATTCTTTTGTGAAGATTCTTAAGGAGAGAACTTTCTCCACGGTTTTGGGACCTTTGAGAGAGATAGAAATTCTAAAAATTCAATCTCATATATGTCAAAAATGATTACAACGGTTAAGGAATAGAATATATAGAAAAAAACAAAATGCAACAACCATATGCTCATACAACCCACAAACAGTCGCGTATACATCCATGGTCTGTGGTCCCTGTTAAGAAAAGTGCATTGTATAAGGCGGTTCTAATTATCCTCACTTTGGTCTTAAGCCCCCAAGGTGCCCCCATTATAGGGACCCAGTATCTCTGTCGTCGTCACCTGGCAAACTCTAAGGTCTGTCGCAGTATTTCAAGCTAGAGTAACCGGTTATCACCTTAAGTGTGATTTCCGACAAGGCTCACAGGCTCCAAGGCCAAACTTGGCCCGGTCGTACGTCAATCACTCCCTATGTTTAATACCCTCATGATCTGGGTGTAGGGGGACTGTTGTGTGCTATGGTCTGTGTGCAATTTGTTAATTCAAACATATGCAAAATTTAAACAAGAATATAGATAATAAAGTCAAACAAATAAAATAAACAAAGTAAAGGGAAAAAATATTCCCTAAAAAATGTGCCTAAGCTGTCTATTTATAGGCTTTAGACAGGGTCCAGAATGGCCCGTTTCAAAATTGGAACGGCCCGTTCTGGTTATGGCCGTTATGTATAAATTTTGTAACTGGAACGGCCCATTCCGAAATTGGAACGGCCCGTTCCAGAGACAAAATTAACACATCATTTGGTATGCTGGAACGGGCATTCCAAATAGGGATCCTTAGGCTTTTTTTATAACTTGGAACGGCCCGTTCCAGTTTGGGAACGACCCGTCCCAGTTTAGAGTTTTAGACCTCTTTTGAAGAGTTTGGAACGACCTGTTCCAATCTTGGAACGGCCCGTTCCAATCTCGGAATGGCCCGTTCCAATTTTGGAATGGTCCGTTCCAAATTAGGGTTATTGGCTATTTTGAGAACTTGGAACGGCCCATTCCAAATTGGGAATGGCCCATTCCGGTTTTGGAATAGCCCGTTCCAATCTTCTAAAATTAACTTGTTTGGGCTTTTGGGCCTTCTAAAGTCCTGTCTTGTTGTTTGCATGCTTTGGGAGCTCCGGACAAAATTGGGTGTCTACAATAAGCTGTATTCATTCGAACAAAAATGCAGTCCAAAATACAACCAGCAAACAAAACGTGACTGGAGCAAAAAAAACGTGAAAAATAGAGAGCAGAAAAATAAAGAGGAAGAAAAACGTAAAGAACAAAAAGGAGGCTCTCCCCAAACGTGGTCACATTAGAATATTCATGGTAGTGGCTGCCAAGTCAGCCCTAAGCTAGACTGCTATGACCTAAAATGAAATTGGGCCCCCATCTGGATGTGTCTAGCCCAAAAATGAATAATACAAGGTTAACAAAAATGCAAGTATGTTGTTGATGTGGCGCTGACATGGCAGATGACGTGGCAGCTCCTCTTGAAGTCCAGAAATTAATTCTAAGCCTAGATAATTATTAAACTGCCATGAAAATAAAAATTGGAATAATTAGATTCAGAAAATTCAAATTAGTTAAAATATGAATTACCGGTCCAATTAAAGCCCAAATAGAAAATAGTGCAAAATATCAACAATTAAGCACAAATCAGAGATTAAAATAAGTACAAAAAGGTAAGAAAATAAGGGAAAATAATGACTCATCAATGCGAAACCAATGAAAACACCAATGCATCCTTCAACAACTCTTGGTCTAGACGAAGAATCACCAAACGTTGATAGCACAATGTACAGAGGAATGGTTTGTTCTCTCTTGTACCTAAC